AGATGAGAGAGAGAGAGAGAGATTTAACTAATAGATATATACTGCAGGTACCTTGGTTAATAATCTCTGGCAATCTCTATTTATCTATCTCTATTTATTTATCTCTCTCACTCTCTCTGCAAGAGACAGAGAGATATAGTTAGAGAAAGAGATAAATAGAGATAGAGAGATTTAACTAATAGATATATACTGCAGGTACCTTGGTTAATAATCTCTGGCAATCTCTATTTCTCTATCTCTATTTATTTATCTCTCTCACTCTCTCTGCAAGAGACAGAGAGATATAGTTAGAGAAAGAGATAAATAGAGATAGAGAGATTTAACTAATAGATCTATCTATCTATCAATCTGTCTGTCTGTTTGTCTGTCTGTCTATCTTATCTATATTTTAAGATACAGAAGGATCTTGATATTGGGCACTATCTAACAAAATGAAATTCAAGGCCTTGGGAAGGCCACACTTGGAATTCTGCATTCAGTTTTGGTCGCCACGATGTAGAAAAGATGCGGAGACTCTGGAAAGAGTGCAGAGAAGAGCAAGAAAGAGGATTAGGGGACTGGAGACTAAAACATATGCTGGGTTCAACAGAATTATCGGTTATATATCAACAGGTTATATCAACAGAATCTTGCACCCCTCTTCAAAGTGCCACATTATTCTCCTCCATTGGGGGGGGTGTCTCCTCCAGTAACTGCTCTCTCCCTCCAATGTGTCCTGGCAGAGTTCTCCTCCTGGAGATGGTTCTTGCAGCCGGCTGGCTCACCAGGTGGTCTCCTTTCCTTTTTTTCAGAGCTTTGTTCAAGACTCCTTCGGCTTTGGCCTTGAACCAGAGCCAGCACTGCAAGCAGCTGGAAGGGCTGGTTGTTTCTCAAGTCCAACTGTGCCGCAGCAACCTGGAGCTGATGCAGACGATTATCCAGGCTGCCCGTGAGGTCATCAAGACGTGCCGGAAAGCCTTTTCCGACATGCGGTGGAATTGCTCGTCCATCGAGCGAGCTCCGAATTACTTGCTGGATTTGGAGAGAGGTAAAAGGGATGGGTAGGAGAGAAAGTCCTCCCAAAATTTTCCAGAACTGCTTGAAACCGGGCTGTGGGACAGATGGGCGAGCATATGCAATGCATGCGTAAAGCTCCATTTGGCGCGAGTGGAGGGCGCTTGCACTCACACGTGAAACGGCAAGGGCAAGAGGGCACTTGCCCTGGCACACAAAGTTCCACTTGGGCGAGCACAAGTGCCTGCCATAAGTACAAGCGCCCTTGGCACGCAAATTCGTGCGAGAGGAGGACCCGTAGGCCTTCCACTTGCACGAATGGAGATGTGCGCAGGCATCAATACCTCACACACACACGCGCGCACACAGATACACACAGGCCTCGATGATGTGTGATAGCGATAGCACTTAGACTTATACACTGCTTCACGGTGCTTTACAATCCTCTCTAAGCGGTTTATGGAGTCAGCCTCTCGCCCCAACAATCTGGGTCCTCGTTTTACCCACCTCGGAAGGATGGGAGGCTGAGTCAACCTTGAGCTGGTCAGGATCAAACTGCTGGCAGTCGGCAGAGTTAGCTTGTAATACTGCATTTTAACCCCTGCACCATCAGGGCTCTTGATTAGATAGATAGATAGATAGATAGATAGATAGATAGGTAGGTAGGTAGGTAGGTAGGTAGGTAGGTAGGTAGGTAGGTAGG